TCAGGGACCACCAACACCGAACACTCGGCTCTGTGTTGGTCGGAACGCTAGGGTCCCATTTCCCAAGCAGGAGCAAGACTGGGGCCCACGATTTGCCTTCCTCTTTGTTTCAAGGTCTGGGTTCTTGAAACAATGATCGGGGCCCCTGTGTCGGTCAGAGGCCTATAGTGCCTAACATGGCGTCATGTGTCGGCAAGTGGCCCCGAGTCCGTCACTGGCTTTGTTAGGGGAAACTCGAAGAGGAGCTCGAATAGGTTCATCTCGTGTGATCTCGTGTGACTCGCGTCTCGTCTCGTCATTGAATGATCTCGCGGTAGCTTTCGACTTCTGTTCCAGTTATAGACGGCAAAAGCCACAACATAACAAAGAAAACCGTGCCCCTCATTAACAAGTGAACAATATCCTGCAATTTGGGGGGGGGGGGACTTTTCGCCGTCGTGGGGTCCTTTTTCAACCGTGCGGCCTTCTGTGCTGGCTCTGGCTACGGATATGTTGTCATGTCTTTTCCGAAATAATGTCACTCTCAGCATCCACCATGATCGAGAGAAATTTAACGCGCCCTATGCGTGCACATGTGCATCACTCTCCATTTGCAAGGGCTGCGCAAAGGCCCGCTCAGTTTTCCCATGCAGAATAGGAAAGAAGAATCTACGAATTTAATGGCCTAAATCCGATTTTTTTGTCTTGGGAGGGGGGGGGGGGGGCACAAACTCCTCAGAGACCCATAGTGTTGCGTGGTTACCCATTAGACGAAGTCCTGGATCCGCCACTGACAGCCACTACCAACGTCTCGGGCAAAGCCGAACAGCCTGGTATTACCATCCGGATGCTTAGGTCTGCTTGCATGGACTGATCGCCAATGTCCATTGTTATATCACTTCCGCACAAATTCTATAAATGCGCTCTCTCTCTCTCTCTCTTTCTCCTCTCTCTCTTCTCCTCTCTCTCTCTCTCTCCTCCCTCTCTCTCTCTCCTCTCCTCTCTCTCTTCTCTCTCTCTCCTCTCTCTCTCTCTCTCCTCTCTCTCTCTCTCTCTCTCTCTCCTCTCTCTCCTCTCTCTCTCTCTCTCTCTCTCTCTCTCTTCTTTCCCATACACATATACACACTTTTCTGTGTATATGTGTATGGGCAATGATTCGATGATTGGGAATGATGTCATAGTGGGCCTCATGCGCGTAGGTCCAGTGACTAGGTCTCCTGGGCATAGGTCTCGTAACATAGGTCTCCTGGGCGTAGGCCATGTGGGTGTAGGTCTCCTGGGCGTAGGTCCAGTGAGCGTAGGCCTACTGAGCGTAAGTCTCGTGAGAGTATGTCCAATGGACGTAGGCCTCCTGGGTGTAGGCCTCGTGGGCCTAGGTCTCGTGGGCCTAGGTCTTGTGAGAGTAGGTCTCCTGGGTGTAGATCCAGTGAGCGTAGGTCTCCTGGGTGTAGGCCTCGTGAGCGTAGGTCCAGTTGACACAGGCCTCCTGGGTGTAGGTCTCGTGAGAGTATGTCCAATGGACGTAGGCCTCCTGGGTGTAGGCCTGGGGAGCACAGGTTTCCTGGACGCAGGTCTCCTGACGCGCCACCCGAAATGCTGTCAAATCCAAGACCCCAGCGCAACTCTTCGACCTGCTCGCTGTGGCCTGAACAAAACTAGAGACATTTCAAAAACCGCAAGGTGCCACCAAAATCCCCGCATAATTCTCTAGACAAAAAGTCCAGCGACTTGGAAACAAACATACGCTATCGGGGCTAGTCGCGCGCCGCTATTGTGGAGGGAGAATGTGCGACTTATCTGGTAATTTGATTATCGAAAGGCATTTGTGGAGGGTAAAAATCGTTTTCCGGTTGCACCCTTCGGTGATAGTCAGTTATTATTATAGTTCTTTTGTGCCGTCACTTTTGGAGGGATTGTACTTTTGTAGGCTAGTGGATCGCTGCTTCATTTGTTTTTTTTGTTCAGGTAGCGTTTATTCATAAAGTGTGCGAAAGACCCTTTCCATTACATTAGCCATAGCTGCTTTATTGATGTCACATTGTGTTCAGGTGTGGATGAGCAGTGTTTAAAGGGCGCTGGGCAGATTGGTATGTACAGGTGTTTGAGGTGCTGCTGAGTGTTAAGTCCAACCCTGTGCAATTCCTTTCTTAACTCTGTTGGGGAGAGAAATAGAGATTGTGGTGTTTGGTATTATTTAAAGATTTTGATGTGCAGCATAACTTCTGCTTTGGGCTTGTGAATAATCCATACCTGGGTCATGCTTTGAGATTAGAATGCCAGCACCATGCCAGTCTACAAAATAATACTCTAGGAGTGTCAAGTTCTCATGAGCATCATCCCCAACAGCAATTACAGTGCATCCATGCCAGTTGTCTACAAATATCTGACTTCTGCGCCAGACATTCATGTGATGTCGCATTGAACCTCATGTGCAAAATGGAGGCGAGGGCAAATTCCGTTGTTTTTAAACCAAAATGTTTTGAAGTAGTTGTGCCTGAAACTAAGATAATGATAACTTGAAATGTTGGTTATATGTGCTGAATTTGGTAGCGAGCATAGTGTTGAGTTCTAGGTGCTCAAGTTACTTCATACATGCTTTGTAGGTTATAGACATTTGTAGTTCATAGACATATAGACGTCGCTGCAACACGGTATGATCAGAGTGGTATGTATTTGTTACAGTCTCATATGCATACTGTAAGGCAGAGCATTCTGAATGTGAATGTGGTACCAGTGTGGGGAGTTGGAGAGCTGAGCGTCACTTTCTTGAATTGATTCAGAGTCTGAACCATTAAGATTGTCATAACCCTTCCTCAATCCCCAATTCCTCCTCAGATGTTGTCCATTTGTAATTTGTGCTTGTTCCCCAATGTTACAATTTAGATGTTTTGTTGATGTCAAAATTGTTGGTGCATAGAGGATGAGAAGTGAATTAATATTGTAATGTGAGGTAAAACTGCATTGCGGAATGCTTAGGATTGGATGTAGTGCACTAAGGGATCTAAATAGTTTAAGCCCTTGTGGTTAACAAAAAAGTTGTGGTATATTTTGTATATCATTGTTTTAAATGATAATTTTTTGTTTATTAAAATGTTTATTTTTTATTAATGATGACCTGAGGCACAAAAGAAGGAATTTAGGCAGAATGGTATGTCTTTGCATGTCTGGATAAGAGTCTGGATTGGTTAAGTACATTGCCACAATTTATGTTATCATAAAGAAAGTGACACAGAACTTGTATGACCCTCTCAGTGGATATTTCAGTAGCTGGGAGGATAGTGGGTACAAACCAGTAACTCAATGGGTCTCCAGAGAGGCCATCTTAAAGAAAAGCATGTCATGCTGAAAGTTGATGTAAGGAAAAATGGCAAGGCAGTTCTGTTGGCCTTGTTGCTCATATAATAGCCAGGAGAAAGGAGAAATAGATGCATTGATATTTTGGCTACATACATTTTTCCAAATGAATATTTGTGGCAAGTTAAGAATTGTGAGCCTCACTCAATTCTTAGTGGGATTGGCAACCAATTTTGAATTCACTGCAGGTATTTGTTGTGATAAAGGCATGTAGTCAAACTAACAATGTGTCTATGTATCCTTTCCCTTGCTGGTTATTCTACCAGGAATAAGGCTAACAGTACTGTCTTACCTATATGCATAATGCTTCCCACAAATGCTCCTGGGAACTCACACAAGCAAAAAAAAGGCTCCCTATCTTGGTGTTTCAGGGTGATGGGTTGGGAGTTGGTTTTAAGTGGCATCTGAAAAACATTGGTCATGTTGAGGAAACTTGGGGTAAGGCCCTGGCTCTTCCCAATTATCTGCCCTCTGCTGAAGGCCTCTGTTTTGCTGCAGACACCATGAACAGCCAGAAGTTCTGCCTCAAGTGGGACGGCTTCCAGGGCAGCGTGACATCGCTGTTCAACAGCCTGCGGCAGAAGGGCGAGCTGGTGGACATCACGCTCTGCTGTGAGGGCGAGCAGCTCCGCGCCCACCGCATGATGCTCTCGCCTGCAGCCCCTACTTCCGCGAACTGCTCAAGGTGCGATCACGCGCTGCCAGCGAGCGCCTCCACTCCCAGCTTGGTGGGGCATTCATCCCAAGTCGTGGCCGCCTTCGTGCTGGGTTGTGTCTCTGCCATTGCCCCATGGTAGCGTGCCTTGACGTGGAGGTCCTGAGGCAGGGGTGTAGTCTCCTGTCCAGTTGGGGCTGGGGGCTTCATTCGGTGATTCCAGGATGGGACTTCACGTACGTCAGCTGCTCTATTTGGTTGGAAGGATGTACTGCTGCCTGCAGGCCCAGTCGGACACTTCTGAGATTCGTTCAGCGTCGCCAGCATGCCACTGTGCGGCGTTACGGACGTCTGCTTGTGAGCGCCTCGGTTGTGATGCTCAGGACTGGGATGTAACTTGTATGGAAAAAGTACTATGTTCGCTCACGCTCGGCGAAGCGATTGCTTCGGCCGTTTGTGGCAATGCTCTGCCACGGAGGCAGCCATAAGAGCGTTGCCCTGTGTTCCAGGGTCTGCCATGTCAGCAGATGGTGATCTTCCTGAAGGACACGTCGGCCGCCGACCTGCGGGCCGTCATCGAGTTCATGTACAAGGGCAGCGTGAACGTGGCCCAGAGCCAGCTGGCCAGCTTCATCAAGACGGCCGAGATGCTGCAGATCAGGGGCCTCAGCGGAGAGGACGACAAGGTGGGACTGGTGCTCCTCCGCCGCGTGGCTCGCTTCCGAAGTGTACGCCCCGTGCGGTCCAACGGGACATCACCGTCACCCGCACCCCTCCAGCAGCTCCAGTGAACGGTGACGTGGTCTGTCTCACGTGCTGATTCAGTGAGGGGCGGGAGCTCAGTGGGTACGCGATCCGGATGCTGTGCCCTTCCGTACTGACGCCCCATCTCATGCATCTGGTGAAATGTCCATCTGTTTGCGGAGTGAACTGTGCTGTGCCTGGGCGTCTGTGCGCAGGCTGGTCCTTCTGTGCACTGGTGTTAGCTACATTTCCACATCTGTATGCAAGGATGAGCCCCCTCCATGTGACCTTTGTCCCTTTGACACCGTCGTGTCGGTATGTGAGTCGAAGCAAAGCTCGCCGTTTTTCTGCAGGCTGAGTTAGTTCCCTTTCGTTGTCATGTTGATGCCAGCCTGCGCGGTATTCAGGCGTTCGTGTGCTGCTCTGGGCGGTCAGTGCTCACATGCATCAGCTGGCCAGGGCCACTCGGTGGCCGGCGCTGAGCGGCGCCTCTGTCTCCGGCAGCCACCGACGCCCGCCGAGCCGGCGGCCAGCCGCTCGCCGCCGGCCAAGCGGCGGCGACACTCGGGCGCGGACGGCGCGCCGGCGCCGGCGCGCTCCCCGGGCCCGCGCGGCCCCCGACACGCCCGGCCTGTCCGGCTCCTCGGACCATTCGGCGGCGCCGTCCCCGCCGCCGGCGCCGGCCGTGCAGGCGCCGCTGTCGGCCCCGCGCCCGCCGCCGCCGCCGCTGCCGCTCCGCTCCCGCTGCCGCCGCCGCCGCCGGCGGACGGCGCCGTCAAGGTGGAGAAGGTGGATGACGGGGAGGGCGCCGGCGCCGACGAGATCGCGCTGGATGGCGACGGCTCGCTGGACGACACGCTCGGCTACGTGGCTGAGTTCGAGAGCTTCGGCACCGCCGACCCGCTGCCCGGCCTGCCGGGTGTCGCGCCCACCAGCGCCGCCTGTGAGTTATGGACAACTGCTGGCGAAGACTGAGGCGCTGGTGACAGCTGACTGCTACTGACACGGCCGTGTGGACCTGCTGCTCATTTCCCATTGTTTGGGTGGTGTTGCTCACTTCCAGTGGGCTTGTTTTGTCAGAATGCTGTGCCTCAAAGAAAATACTAGTACAGCTGCTGTTGTTAGATCGTCAATGCCGCGCCATGTGCAAGGAGCCTAGCGAGAATTCCCCTGGTATTTGCGTCGGGACTTGGGGTCCAGAAGCGTACAGGTGTCCTGATGCGTCAGGCCGTCATGCGCTGAAGCCTCGAGCGCGTGTGTGCGTGCCCTTTTGCGACATAGCGAAGGCCTCGCGCACCCTGCGTCCCAGCGGCTTGGCTCTGTGTAACCTGGTCCGCGACCGTCCTGTGGCCCGCGGCGCCCGCTGACCCGCCCCGTGTCGTTCCAGTGCTGCCCCCCGGGCCTTCGCAGCGGCTGATGGACGACGGCAGCTCGCAAGGTAGGCTCCTCGCACCGCTCTTGTTTGTCGGTGCTCCGCGCCGCTGCTGGTGATGGTGTGGCGTGGCGTGGCGTGGGCGTGGCGTGGTAGCGCCAGCCGACGGGGCGGAGACGGCAGGCGAGCTCGGGGCTGCTCGAGCCGGGTGATCTGGACCTCGCGAGGGGCGGGGGCGATCGGCCGCCGGGGAGATGGCGCGCGGAGCCGGCCTCGGTCAAAGGTCAGGGCCTCTTTCAGGGTGAGCAGGCTTCACCTCCCGGCCGGCTCGGTCGTGTGAGGCCTGCCGCTCCGGTGCCGGGAGGCCAGTGGGCCGTGTTGCGACCTCCGAGACCAACAGATGAGCTCCGCTGGGACTGGAAGGCGGCGACTGGCTCTAGCAGCTGCAATGATGAAAATCCCCCTGGGGCTATATCGTCGTTCGGGTCGAGCATATTTCTACGCACGCACCAAACGTGAGCGCAATCGAAGATTTTGCGCTTTTGCGCGCATCAACCAGTTCACTTTATTGCTCGGTGTTTCGGCGCCGCGTTCAGCGACACGACAAACATAACACACTGCACAGGTCTGATATGACGGGCTGTTTCTGAGCTGCTGCCTGCAGTGCCATGGCTGAGGTCGCCTTAGTTGCTGAAGGCGAAGGCTGGTGGCGAGTACCACCAGACAGACTGCTAGGCGCAACTCTCCGCGCGGCTGGCTTCGCTGGGCCCAGTTTTCATCGATGTGTAGCGAGGCTACACTCGTGTGCGCAGTTGTCTGCCGAACGCGCCCATAAAGAGTTGCTCATCTCTTCGTGAGCGTGCGGCGCTCGCCGTGGCCGCCGCCGTCGGCCGGCCGTCCGGCACCGCTCGATCTCCCGCGATCCGCGTGAGATGAACTCCAGTCTGTCCACCCGAGCCCGGTGGTGCTGTTCGCCGCGGGAGGTAGGGCGTCCTCCCGAGAGACTCGTGCGTCACAGACGGACGGTCAGTTTTGCGAGGTCCGTCGGAAGTCGCGTCACTTTCGGTAGCCCGACGCCGGTGCAAGCTCGTTTGTTGTTTGCGGTGGTGCTGGCGTCTGGAGGGCTTCGCAGTTTTGGAACTCTAATGTGACGGTAAGTTTGAAAACGCATGGTTTCTGAACTACAAATTTAGGGGCCATTGAAGATTGACATTGTTGCGTGACGGAAGAAAATATAGCACGGTCGTTCTGATGGGAGACGTGAAAGCGCATAGTCCAAGGGCCTATGAGCCCGTGCCCTTTTGGGAAAGCTTGCCGGCAGTTATGCCGCAGGGGCGTACATCTCGTGCAGTGTTGTGTCGGATGTCTGCTGTAGTGCGTAATCGCCCGACAGTGTGTGGCGGAGTGTGTGACAGCCGCCCGCGGTGCCTGTGAACGTCATGATCCAGCCATACCTCGGACGTGAGGAAGAGCTGGGCCAGCGCGCGCCGCCAGTGCACCGGCGCCGGCCGTCTATGGACTGGCGCGTATCGGCCGGACGGCTGTGGGAGCGGGCGCCGCTGCGCCGGCGGGGCCAGCTCGGCGTCAGGGCCGGCCCAAACACTGCGAGAACACGCCGGGCGCCGCCGCCCGTCCGGGCGCGTGGCGAGCTGCCGACAGAGCGCCGCCAGGCGACGTCAAGCGCGGTCGTCGCGAGCGAGTGGCGCCGTCTGACTGACTGAGAGCGATAGGGAGGGCGCCGGCGCGCCCGGCCGGGCCGGCAGGCGGCCGGCCGAGCAGACTGAGCCAGCCTCCCGCTGAGCCGCCCGTGTCTGTGTCTGCCGCAGGCTGCGTGCCGGCCGAGACGTGCGCCGTCTGTGGCGCGCGCTACCACCACCGGCGCAACCTGGCCGAACACATGAAGCGGCACCTGGGCCGCACCACCTGCCTCATCTGCCGCCAGGAGTTCGCCATGACGTTCACCCTGCGCCGGCACATGGTCAACCGACACGGCCTGGCCGCCGAGGAGGTGGGCCGACTCACCAACAAGCGGCGCAGCGGGCCCCCGGCCGCCGGCGAGCGGCGAGACAGCGCCGCGTGACCGAGCGGGGGGCCGTGTGCCGGCGCGGGGGGCCGTGCGCCAGCGGCGGGCCGTGTGACAGAGCGGCGACCCGTGGCCCAGCGCGGCGGACCGTGTGACAGAGCGGGGGGGCCGTGTGACGGAGCGGGGGGGGGGCGTGTGACAGATCGGCGGACCGTGTGACGGAGCGGGGGCCGTGTGACGGAGCGGCGGGCCGTGTAACGGAGCGGCGAACCGTGTGGTGGCCGTGTGACGAAGCGATGGGCCATTTG